CTGAGTCATCTGAGTCTACTGGGTCATCTGAGTCTACTGGGTCATCTGAGTCATCTGGGTCTACTGGGTCATCTGAGTCTGAGTCTACTAGGTCATCTGAGTCATCTGACTCTAATGGGTCATCTTAGTCATCTGAGTCATCTGAGTCATCTGAGTCTACTGAGTCATCTGAGTCTACTGGGTCATCTGAGTCATCTGAGTCTACTGGGTCATCTGAGTCATCTGAATCTACTGGTTCATCTGAGTCATCTGTGTCTACTGAGTCATCTGAGTCTACTGGGTCATATGAGTCATCTGAGTCTACTGGGTCATATGAGTCATCTGAGTCTACTGAGTCATCTGAGTCATCTGAGTCTACTGGGTCATCTGCGTCTACTGAGTCATCTGGGTCTACTGGATATTCTGAGTCATCTGAGTCTACAGAGTCATCTGAGTGTACTGGGTCATCTGAGTCATCTGAGTCTACTGGGACATCTAAGTCATCTGAGTCTACTGAGTCATCTGAGTCATCTGAGTCTACCGAGTCATCTGAGTCATCTGAGTCTACTGGGTCATCTGAGTCATCTGAGTCTACTGGGTCATCTGAGTCATCTGAGTCTACTGGGTCATCTGAGTCATCTGAGACTATTGGGTCATCTGAGTCATTTGAGTCTACTGGTTCATCTGAGTCATCTGAGTCTACTGGGTCATCTGAGACTATTGGTGCATCTGAGTCATCTGAGTCTACTGGGTCATCTGAGTCATCTGAGTCTACTGGGTCATCTGAGTCATCTGAGTCTACTGGGTCATCTGAGTCTACTGGGTCATCTGAGTCATCTGAATCTACTGCATCATCTGAGTCTACTGGGTCATCTGAGTCATCTGAGCCTACTGGGTCATCTGAGTCCACTGGGTCATCTATGTCATCTGAGTCTACTGGGTCATCTGAGTCATCTAGGTCATCTGAGTCATCTGAGTCTACTGGATCTTTTGAGTCTACTAGGTCATCTGAGTCTGTTCCTGAGTTTCCTGAGTTTGTGGTCTCAGTCCCACATCCAGAGTTGGTGGTCCCATTTCCAAAGTCGGTTGTTCCACAATTGGTGGTCCCGGTGGCTCCATAGTTGGTGGTCTCAATGGTCCCAGATTTTGTGATCCATAGCATCTGGGTCAGCTGCTGGCGCCTCCTCTTTACCTGGGTCATCGCTCATTGCCTCATCATCTCCTCTATCGCCTGCGTTTGCCGTCATTGACACTCTGGCTCCGTCAACCTCTGCTGGCTCTTCGTCTTCTCCCGCATCCTGCCTTGGCTCCACGTCTGCTCCCGTCTCCGCCCTTGGCTCCACGTCTTCTCCCGCCTCCTCCCTTGGCTCCACGTCTGCTCCCGCCTCCTCCCTTGACTCCACGTCTGCTCCCGCCTCCTCCCTTGGCTCCACGTCTGCTCCCGCCTCCTCCCTTGGCTCCACGTTTGCTCCCGCCTCCTCCCTTGGCTCCTCGTCTGCTCTCACCACCTCCCTTAACTCGACGTCTGCTTCTGCATCCTCCCTTGGCTCCATGTCAGTTCCCGCCTCCTCCCTTGGCTCCACGTCTGCTCTCACCTCCTCCCTTAACTCAACGTCTGCTCTCCCATCCTCCCTTGGCTCCACGTCTTCTCCCGCCTCCTCCCTTGGTTCCACGTCTGCTCCTGCTTCTTCCTGTGGCTCCACGTCTGCTCCCGCCTCTTCTTGTGGCTCAACGTTTGCTCCCACCTCCTTCTGTGGCTCTACGTCTGCTGTTGTTCCTGCCAGGCGACTTATTATTGTTATTATTAAGTTATTCACTGGATAGTTTCCTGGCCGACCCCCTGGGCTTGTGTGTTTGTTTTGAGTTCCCATCTTGTGTTCGTGTTCCCCGAGTCCTGTACCTCGCCCTTTTTTGACGTCGGGAGTCGTTGTTAAGGTGGTGGTACTGTCATGATCAGTGGTTTGTCTTTATTTTCTTGTGTTTTCTCTGTTCCCCTGTGTTTCTTTTCCCTGCTGTCTCACCTCCAGCCCCACCCACGCTCACCTGTGTCCTCTTGTGGCTCTCCAGGTGTTTCCCATTGTCTCTTAATTTGTTTGGTTTATATTCTGAGACTTGTCTTCATCGGATCATATTTCAGCCTCCCCTGACGGTGTCTTGTTTTCTGTAATCGTGACTTCAAGCGAGTTTTTGTGCTGCACTGCCAGACTTTTGATTTTAATTAAAGCCTTGTTTCTGATTTTTGAACCTGCCTGCGCCATGTGTGTTTTTGCCTACTTAAAGCCTGATACAGAGTATGTGTTGTGAATGGTTATCAGCTACCTCCACCTTTAAATCGGCTCCAAAAGTGAATCACTTATAGATCACTTATGATTATTTCCTGACATCAGGAGACATTTTGCAAAAAGTTTTGACTCCAGTAGTTCAAGCTAAATTTTTTAAACATAGATCTTGTGATGTCACTTAGCACTTGAAAAAAAGCACAATAATCAATTCTGTGTATGGTTCTTTGGTTTTTCTGTTAAAAAATAATTGGGTGGGGTTTTCTCTTTTTTTTTTTGTTTTATTTTAAAACTAAACTAGAAGAACAAAACGGATACTTTTTTGTAATGGTTAAAGCAAAGATAACTTTATATTTTGTTAATGGGACCTTGTGATGGAACCATTATTCATGGCCTGAACTCCTGGAACATTATGTTTTCATGTCTTGCCTGGATATGTTTGTCTTATTTAAAGGGATCTGATGCATCTCATTGAGAGCTGACAATCTTATTATGAACAAAATTGTTATAATAGTTTCAAAAGTCAGAATATAGTTCAGGTGCAACCATTGCCATTATATTAAGGAATGGTTTCTTTTTTATGTTTTCCAGTCACTATAAACTCTTCTTCTTCTTTGTCGACTTCTGTCATTTCTGAGAGGGCCACAAATTAAAACAACAATTTTGGGTCCTCTATAATAGATACTTGAGGCAAAAATCAAACACTGTGGATTTTTAATTAGTTTGATTTTGCATTCAGGTTTAAAAAACAGTAAAAAAAAAAACATGGTTGTTTTCTTTTTGTATTTTTGTTTCAAAATAGAAAAACCAATGAATGAACCACACACATTTTATTTATTTGTTTGCTAAGATTATTTTGAGTCAACTCAATTCAAGATTTAACTCCACAGCAAAGTTGTAGATTTCAACAGAGGGATTGTTATAAGTTATATTCAATGATTCATAAGATGTTTTACTAACAATACAGACAAATGAACACTTACATTAGTGCTCCGCTGTCACTTTGCCAACAGGAGAAAACATCAAATCATGTGTGATCATCTGATCCTCAACAAAGTATTTACCCAGTTTGAGGATCCAAGCATCAGCAGGCAGATTGGAGGGGAAGACACGAAGCCCCCTCTTATGACAGTTGACCTCTGACTTTTCTGAGCCCGGTGTTTTTGAGCATTTGCAGAGATCAGGACAGCCCACCACAGCCTGCATGATGCATGGCATTACCAACACCAACCATGACAAGTGTTGCATCTGCCCTGTGAAACCTGAACAAGAATAGTTTCATTAAAATAATAATAATAACAACAACAACAACAACTAACAATAATAA